TGTTCATCCAAATTGTAAATACGATGCAAAATGTACTAAACCAGACTGTCCCTTCACTCACGTGACCAAATAACCCCAGGACTGCCTCCAAAATCAGTCAGAACACCAGTACCACCTTCCAGTAGTCAGCTCTGCCGTTACTTCCCAGCTTGTAAGAAAATGGAATGTCCCTTCTACCATCCGAAACACTGTAGATTTAACACTCAGTGTACACAACCTGACTATACGTTTTATCATCCCACCATTACTGTACCACCACGACATGCCTTGAAATGGATTCAACCTCAGACCAGTGAATGACACCCAGTCCTACCTGACAGAAGACTGGAGTTTGAAAGTTTCCATCTACTGATGAAAGACATTGTACAGAATTTGTCAAATCTTTGAAACTTGGAATATACTGCTTTCATAATATGAAGTTTATTGCCTATCTGAAGTGTCTAATTTTTCAAGTTTCTAAGCTTATTAAGTCATTTTAACATTGGGTCTTTTTTGTTGTTTTGTTTTGACTATGGAAAGACAATTTAAGGAAAAGCTGAATTCTATTAATACATTTGAGGCATGTTTATTTAAAAAATTGATCCAATTGACATATACACCCTACTGTATATAAGATAGATAATAAGAACCTCCTGCATAGCACAGGGAAGTCTATTCAATGAGCTATAATAGCCTATATAAGAAAAGGATCTAAAACAGAGTGAATGTATGTATAGTATGTCCCCTACAAATGAACAAGTTCTACTTTGAGAATGCATTCATAAGTCCAACAAGTTAGCCTAAGTACCCAACTAACAAAATCAGCTATATAATACAGTACTGTAATAGGTTTATGTTACTTTTCACACAAATAATACACTAAAAAAAACACACACACACAAAAGAAAACATTTTTAATGTTACAGTGCAGTACTTTGAAAATACAGCAGCCGGCATACTGGGGCTGGCATCAAGTGAACAGGCAAGAAGAGTTACTGACTGGTAGAGGGAGAAGTGGGAGATGAAAGAGCTGAAGGATGGTCAGCAACTGGAGCCAGAGGACGAGCTGCAATTGCACACGCGCCTGACGCTGATGGCACAGGTCCTGGTTCCTTGCTGGATTCAATTCTATCCACCCTCTGGAAAAAACAACCCAGTGATGTCTGGGTAGTAGCTCTTTTTCTCTTGCCATAGATGACATGGTAGCATGGACTGATTTCTGAACGGCTGCTGAGAACTTTGTGTACCATTCTACGTTCAGGTTCCGTGCCTCAAAAACAGTACCTCCTCAAATAAAGAAAATCCCCTTGCCATTTCCCGTGTCATCAATCTCTTGGGTTCTTCAGTTACTTCCTTTTCTCTGGACCCCAATTCATTACTAATGGGTCTTCATTAGCAAGCATGTGTTTCACAACAAGGAGTTCAATGAAGTTGCCCCCTTGCAGATCTAGATCCAATTTCTTGCTGAGGGACCACTAATTTGCTGAAGATCTATTTGGACTCCTCATCCACCTTCTCAAATCCAGGGAAATCATGCACACACAGCCAGCAAAGGTACTTCCAAACCATTCATGCTGATAGCTGTAACCTCACACCAAGCAAAGTTTTTTACGTCTTGTAGATGTGACAGTCCTTCCAAAACTGTCCCAAAGTTGTTCCTGATTCACTGCCTGATGAAAAGTGTGACATAAACATTTCTTCAAAGTTGCTGTAACCCCCTGGCCCATAGACTGGATGAGCAAAGTAGTGTTGGGTGGCAGATGCACTACTTTGACATTGGGGTGAAAATCGCCCACAAATGGGAGGTGGCCTCGAGCAATGTTGTGTAGCAAAAGAAAAAAGAGTGGGACATCCTTCTCCAAGCAACATTTCTCTACCTTTGGGATTAAATGGTGTTAAAGGCCACCTGGAAAACGGCCTGTGTAACCCAGGCTTTGGCATTACTCTTCCACATAACAGGAAGAGGGCCTTTGGCTATGGTTTTAAGGATTCTTGCGTTCTCTGAATAATGAACTAAGACAGGCTTCAGCTTCATATGCCCAGAAGCAGTCACCCGAGTCAGCCTATCCTTTTCTACTTTATTGCTGGGCAGCAGCTTTCCCTCCTTCCTGATATAAACTTTGGCCTGCCACCCTCTTCCAGTACAGTCCTGTCTCGTCCACATTAAAAATCTGCTTGCTTAAATGTGCACCTTCAGCAATAATTCCCCAGTGTTTCAGGAAGTTTCCAGGCAGCTACCATATCTACAGCTGCTGCCTCACCACTCGCTTTTACATTGTGAAGGTTGGCTCCAGTCTTAAACCAATTATGTTTCTTCTTCAAGTCTTCATAAGGGCTTTTAGCTTTCTCTTGAATCAGCATTAAGCTGAGCAGGACTTGACGCTGATGCTGATCCTGTTTCTCCATCTCCTCTATCACTTTCCCACATTTCTTTGATATTATTGTAAACATTATCGGCACAGACTTCATGTTTCATGATCTCACCCTTGTTCTTGAGAATTGTGCCAGTGGTTGAACAGTTTATGTCGTAACAATGAGTGACGTCTACCATCTTTTCGCCTCCCTCTGATTTTCACTTTTCTTTCTTTCCATCACTATCATTTGGCGCTTCACAGAAGAACCAGCTACTTTTACCGCTTGCTTCCACACATCCTGGGCTTGAAATAATATACTACTGTACTCTATACAGTGCTGTAGATACACAAAAGCACCACTTGTACAAGATGCACACACATGACAGTGTATGCCAGACACATGAACTAAGTTATGTAACTGGACATGTGAACGCACGTTTACATTGTTGAGTTTGCAGCTTGAAGGTTCACATGTTGAGGACTTACCGTATAACTGGTTCACCTTGCTGTACACCTGAAACTACACTGTAAATCAACTGTACTCCAATTTCTAAAAAAAGAATTATCAGATGGGAGGAGAGCAATGAGGTAGGAGATAAAGGGCAAGTGCTGGAGAAATGTTTGCAAGTAGATCTCTGGCTTTGTCTCCTCCAATTTACCACAGAACCTTCCCAACAATCTAAAACATGTATCTAGTGATGTTCAATTCTCATGTTTAAAATCCTTTTAATAGCTCTCCACTACCTTCCGCATAAAATTACAACTTGACCTGGCATATTCTGTATTTTTAAAAAACGACTGGAGCAAGTGATGGGCTCCCTTCATAATAACATGGAGCAACTGAGTTTTGATAAAAGGGATTCTTCAGTTATAACTGGAGAGAAAGGTTAGGTGTAAAAGCAGATAGATTTATAGATTTGATGGTGGGAAGAGTTCCATCTTGTGATGGTTCCTCAATGAAAGGCCAAGTGAGATGGAGAGGGGAGAGAATGTGTTAAACAGTCATGTCAGAGGAGTGACATGCAGTGACACATGTTGCCTACTTCTCAACTCCTAAAGCTCCCTGATTGGTTCACATTTCTGAGATTTTAATTTTCATGATTCCTCTCTGGAAAATTCCTGTTTTTCCAGATTTTCCAGAAAGGAATATCAAAATTAAAATCTCTGAAATGTGAAACTAGGGAGCTAGTCATGAAGTCATGAAGTAACATGAAGTTACTTAACATGAAGTCATGTTACTCCTCTGAGATTACCGTACAGTATATTCACAGCTGGTACCTACCTCACTTTTATTATTATAATACACTGATGTTTGCATTTGCTTTCCCTAATAGACTAAGCTTCTCTGAAAGCTTGGCCTGTACTCCTAGTGTGGGGCCCATGCAGGATCACATTTAATGGTAAACATTAATCAATGTTTAACATAAACAGACTTTTTGTTGGTAGAATCCACAACTAGGAGAATTAGAGGAATGTGAAAGTGTCAAGGGTTAACCAGTCTCTAGAATAAACCAGCTTGTGATAACTGTGTCCTTTTTAAAATGGCACTGCAGTATGGACACACCACAACAAGGGCTTTCATTTAATCCTTTTGTTTTATTCAAATGCCAAAACAAGTTTCAAGATACAAATCGTAGTTGTGTTTAATTTAAAAACATCAATTATGCTTTGTTAACAACTTTCAAAACCAAATGTAAGCTGCTATGACTGAAACGTCTCCCAGTCATTTCTGGAGGACTACCTTTAATACATTTAGTAGCTACTCCAATTTCCACTCTACAAAGAGGAAAACGATGAGCCTGTAAGAAAAAGATAATGAACAGTTATGATATGAAACCCTTCCTGAGAAGAACGTTAACCATTACTAGGGAGACCAAGGATACCAGTTTCTGTTCCATACTATTGCAACCAGGCTTAAACACTTTGCAGAAGTGCATTTCTGGTCCTACCCCAGCCATAAATAGATATCTCTTATTATATAATAGAAAACCCAACTCCATCAACAAGATTTAGAACTTGCTAGTAGTTTAAGGTTCTTTCCCTAAGAAAAGGGGTAGGGTGCAGTTAAAAGGAAAACTCAAGAGTTTATAAACCAAAAATTGAAAACAAATGTTTAAAGGTACTCTGATTTAAACAATTTCCAATAAGGCTGAACTGAAGGAACAGTATAGAAACTTGTATCAATACAGCGGGAAAGAAAAAAATTTTAAAGGTATCCAAGTATTTTAATATTTATGGCATCAAATGAAATAATTTTCATTAAGCCCCCCAAACTTCCCCCACTGTTTTTATATAATGAAAGTTAATAACTTATATTTTAGTATGAACACATTCACTTCTGCTGATAGTAAAGCATAGATTTTCTTTAATGTTTCATGAAGCCAAAGAATTAGACAAATATTCAGCACCAGAAAACAAAAAACTAGTATTTTAGATAAGTGTACCATATTAGGATATTTTATTTAGTTCAGCACATGGCTGTTATGACTGATGCTGCATGCTACTTTTAGAATTAGATGTAGTCTTTTTCTAAAGATTTAAGGCAGACTTTTAATTTCATCTGCTCACTCATCGTACTAAAATAGATCAAAGACAGCAAATAAATCAGCCAAGTTAGCAGGAGAATGGTCTTTCCTTATAGTACCGACGGGAAGTCACTGTCAAGCGTCAGTGGACAAGACTAAGAACGCAGCTAAACAAATCATCAAAGCGTGGCTCTTCAGGGCACTTTTTCCATGACATCTTTAACAACTTGGAAACTCCTGTTCCAATTTTTAAGATGAATAAAATTCTAACATTTTTCAGGAAACAAACATGAGTAGACAAAGTTAAGCTAAAGAATGGAATCCCAACTTCAATTTTAAAGAATTTATTTTCCCATTTGTAGAGTAACATTATTGTAAAATCCACAGTTATTGCAACATCTGCATTGCTTAAAAGAACTCCTAAGATTTTTTTTTTAAGTATATTTTTTAAAAACCGAAACAAAATAATGTACATATTCTCTCGGAACATTGTGTCATTAAAGTCCAGGTAATGTCAGTCTGTATAAATCAATGTGATGTTACATAATATACATGATCTGATTTTTATCCTAAAAACTTCTGACCATGTATATGATATCCAAGATAGATCCAATGCTTTCAATGTCAGACTGCAGAGACAGTTATGATCCTAAACAAAAGAAGGACAACTTTATATACACAACAGAAGTCTGACAGTTTAGCTGTTTGCAGCATCTGCTTGACGAGGCCATCCTTCTTCTTCAACTCCAGAGTCATACTCCTCTTCAGAGGATTCTTTGGTTGGAGCCCTATAATGAAAAGCTATCAGTGTTTTTCTGTTTTTAATAAGAATTAGGGGTAAATACAACTTCTCAAAAAATAAATATTAATCCACCTAGCTAGAAAAGCTGCACAAAGAAAGAAAATATAAGAGCACTTCTAATATTAAGACTGCTTAGTGGTAAAATATGAGAAACATTTCGAGCACACAACCAAAAACTATAAGTAATTTCCCAAACAATTTTTTTAAACTGAAACAAATCAACAACCAGGCTTCAACAGTGAAGGCCTTTTCTCCAGCAAAAGTAGTAGAATCTATTAACTAAAATAACTTGACATTTAGTATATGTCAATGGAAAGAAGTTGAAAGCTTCTGATCAAACCAATATGACTCAAATTAGCCAAAATTATGATTACACCATGGTTCTTTTGAATATTAATAGTAAACAATAAAATGAGAGACTATACCTCTTTGAGGTAAAGGTTGTTCAAAACCAATCAACTGCCTCATAAGTTACCTTAGAAGATAAGCATAAAATGTAACATACCTTGTGACAGAAGCCTATTTTTTGTGTAGGTAACACTCATATCAAGCACTGTTTAATAAATACTTATTGAATAGACTGGGGTCAGTAAACTACAGCCTGAAGGCCAAATAAAGTCTGTCATTTGTAAATATTTGTAAATATTTATTTGAACACAGACATGGATCATTCATCTATGGACTGGAACTATCATGCTGTAAGGGCAGAGTAGCTACAATACAAACTGTACGGCCCTGAAGTGTTAAACAGCCCTGTACTGTACAGTTTACTGACCCCTAGAATAGTTAAACAAAAGCAGTGAAATATATGTCAAATTTGTCAACTGATAAGACACAACTAAGAGGAAAATTATGTCAACAAAGTTTTGGTCTTATGAAAGACATGAAACAAGTAATAAATAAATTACAGAATTAGAAGCAAAGTTCATTTAAATCTTTTCATTTAGATTACTTTATGTCTTTTTTGATACTTCTTTTAGGAGAAAAAAGTGGAGGCTAGTTTTGAAGGTCAATTTCCAAGAAGACGCAAAGTATCATTTTATAAACCAAAATTAGAAAATTTTTCTACAGAATATTTGAGATAACTGATTCCTTTATGAATATAAAGATTTCACACAACTGTATGACAGACCGATAAACCACAGCAATAAAGAATGATCTTAAGTTTTAGACCTGTCTAGTTTGACAATACACTTTACCGGATGTATCCTGGTTCCTTCTTTCCTTCTACTACTTCTTTGTCAACCTCCACACATACAATATCAGAATTAGGGACTTCGAACATTGGTTCTAGTAACAGCTTTTCCTAAAGAGTAAAAAAGTAATGAATTACATGGAAAACTGAGGTTACATACAAAATACTTGTATTCTAGAGGTTATCAATCAAATTCATCAACTCAACAAATATTATGGAACTGAATTTTGAAAAGTCAATGTAAAAGCTTTCATATTCTTCATATTAAAACAGCTTCTAACTAAATTCGGACTGAAGTCATTCTATAAGGGAAAGCTTCTTGTCTGAAGTTCTGTGTACTTAGGTCACCGTGCACCTACAAAGATTGTACTTTCATTTCGCATGTGATCAGATGCTACTCAAGAAGCATTTCTGACATACTTTATCACCAAAGGAGGTCAACTGGTAGTCCTTAATTCGAAGATGACTTAATCTTAAATCATCTATACCAAGCTATGACTTCAAATATGCATTTGTCTCAACTGCTGCAGTAGATCTAAAGTAATTTACTAAAGAAAACTAATTTTACCTATGCGTAGCAGCTGGATTATGTTCCATCTTAAGGAAAATACTGGTTGAATACACCAAATTTTCTAAAAATGTCAACTATATTACCTTTTCTTCTAGTTTACATGTTTATAAATCTGTCACAGCACCTGAAGTTGACGCCTTCATTAAAAGTATTACCTCAAATTGTGACAGATGTGTAGTTCTGTTAAAAAAGTCCTACTTAGATGAGAGAAATAATACTCAGCAGTGAAATCTTCAGAGAACAGACCATGTGCTTGCTTTTGCGGCATGTAGGGAAACAGTAACCCACTGTACAGCCACACCAGGGACGGGAAAGACCTTTAAGAAAGAGGGTAGCTGAAAAGTAGGCTAGGTCTCCAGGACTTGTAACAAAATTAAAATAGTGAGCTCATACTATACTGAAGAATTTAGAAATAAAATGTTATAATACCTACAACTTAATTTCAAACATAAAACAACAATGAGAATTTCAATGGTTCTGAGGGGCCCACTCTGGAGCTTAGTCAAAACGCCTGTGTAGGGTTTTCTAAAAACCTCCTTCCCATGATCCTGATTTCCTCTATTTTGTTAATCACATTCAGTGTACATCCTTTGCTGCAAATACCTTGAAGTCCCATTTTAGAAAGAAGAAATGGGACTTCCCTGGCAACCCAGTGCTTCCACTGGAAGGGTTCAAACCCTGATTGGGAAACAAAGTTTCCACATGCTGCACAGTGTGGTCAAAATATACAAGGAAAAAAAAAAATCCCAAAAAATGTTAGACCAAATTTCTGGATATATTTCCAAAGAAAAACATGGAGGTTTAATATTCTCAAAATTCAGACCAAGAAATAATCTAGTTTTTGTAAATTTAGGCCAACTTACCATAATGGACCGGAGGCCTCGTGCACCTGTTTTTCGTTCTAGTGCCAATCTGGCTATAGCTTTCAAAGCATCTTCAGTAACATTCAGTTCACACTACAAATACATTCAAAAGAAAGAACTCACATAATATTTGATGATGATATTTTCCTAATAAAAATCATGCAGTATTTGATCTATTACCTATTACTACCTATCACCATTATTGGTCTTTTTATAATAAGAGATGAATGTCCTGACTTTACAGGTAAAGAAATGTTCCAGAGAGTTAAGTACACTGATTCACTAATACTTTTTAAACACAGAATCTTGTGTCTTGACTGATCCTATCTCCTTTCAGACTAAAGTATTTTTAGATTGTAACTTAAGCTTCTGAAAAAATACTCATTTTAAAAAGTGTTACTAACCCTCTCATGCCATGGAACAAAGGTACAATTTTAAGACAAGTCTCTCTGAATTACCACAAATATAAAAAAATTCTGAGAATTTAATATACCTCCCCATAAAAAATAATATCTTGCTACTAAAAAACTTTGTTATTAATTTCTACCACCAGAAACTATAAAATTTACACAACGTAATTATCTCTCATGAAGCTTTAGAATCTTGCTTTCAAAAAGCACTTGTTTCTATGAATTAGCTTATGAGACAGTTAACAGCATGAATCAAAGTTTGTCCTTAGTTCCTGAAGAGGTTTTCTAGATTAACATGGATTTTCTAGGATTTTATTCAACATTTATTGAACCCAGGTGTGTCTAAATATTAGAAACTGAATGATGAATCAGATACCACCTTTACCCTCAAGAAACTTCAGTGTATCAGATGGTGACAAATTAGCAAAATAGCATTTACAGCATAGTGTTTGCACATGGCGCTAAGAGAACAATAAAAGTGGGGACATCTACATAAGGCTAGGGAAACACTGAAGCATTTTTAAGGAGAGTAAAATAATCTAGCTTTGGGTTTATTCATTCAATAAATATTTATTAAGCACTTAATATCTATTTGTTGAACACTATGTTCAATAATTTTAAAAAGATCCATGCTGGAAGTAAAGTGGGAGATAGTATTTTGGTGGTGGTGGTCAGAGACAGACTTTAGGTAGGGAAACCCAATTAAGAAGTAAATACATGGGTCAAGGTGAAGAATGATAAAGGAGACTGACTTGAGGTAGAAAGAGCAGCAGTGGAGATAAGGAGACTAATGTTTTGTGACACTAAGTTCATAAAACCCAAACATTTGCTATCTGATTGGATATATGGTTCCAAGTGTCTGACTGCAGAGAAGTAGATGTGAGAGCTAACTTTAGGAAAAAATATACCTAGCATGTCATAATGAAAGGATTTAGAATATCAAGGCTGAAAAGACAATTCTGTGTGCCTACCTTGAGGGGTTAGTGGTAGGCTGCTAGCATAACTTCTCTCAATATCTATCCTTAGGCTTCAAGCTACAGTGCTGACTTTAAGAAAAAAATTAAGCCAACTCATAAGTGTCTAACACAACACAACGGGCTTTCCCTGATTCCTAGATCCATATTTAGTGAGTAATAGGCTGGCCTGTTTCTCTCAACAGAATCTGCCTGCCAATGCAGGAGACACAGGCTCAATCCTTAGGCTGGGAAGATTCCCTGAAGAAGGAAAGGGCAACCCACTTCAGCATTCTTGCCTGGAAAATTCCATGGACAAAGGAGCCTGGCAGGCTACAGTCCACAGTGTGGCCAAGAGTCAGATACGACTAAGCAACTGAGTGCTCACACACAGGCTGGTATTCCAGATGAGAAGTACTGATTTTTAACTTGTTAGGCTAACATATGCAGAGTTTACACTAACATATAGCAAAAAAACATATAAGTATAAAAAATAAAGATCTAACCTTATCCATGCTGAATAAGGCTTGGTACTGAGGGATGACAGCATTACGTGGTTCAGTTAGTATTTGTACAAGTGTTTTCTCATCTAGGCTATGCAGAGGAACTACCACGGGCAACCGTCCCACAAACTCAGGAATCATGCCAAACTCAATGAGATCTCTGGCTTCCACATGACGTAATAAGCGATCTTTTTCTTCAATGTCTTGGTGAGTATTTGATTCTCCACTTCGATTGGCAAGGTCGGCAGCAGCTGCAGCCCTTCTACCTTTTCCCAGATTAGATGGTGTTCCAAATCCAAGATACTGCCAAAGAAAACACAGGTATTACAAATAACAGAATGACACTGCATGGTGTTCAGCATGTTGCATGCATATCTCACGTGATCTTTGCAACAGAAGAAAGTATTATCATTTATATTTTACAATGAATAAAAAAGGCTTAAAGAGGTTAAGTACTTTGACCAAGCTCTCATTTCTGTTAGTGGTTAACAGCCAGGATTCAAACTTAGGTCTACCTGCCTTCAGAACTGAGAACCCAACCAACTCTCAGAAGAATGAATTCTAGTAAAAATAGGTAAGAGCTGTGAAGGGAAGTCCCTTAGAACTCAGATTATGACATTGAAGGACATTTCCCAGACCTCTAGACTAGTATAACTTCCAAAATGTGCAAGAAAGTAGAGATAGTAGTAATTATTTTGTAACCAAAGTCAATTCTGTAATACTCTAAACAGGAGTAGGGCCTATGGAACAAGCAGCCTTACAAGTAAATTATCCACAATTGTCTTTAAGTCATTGATAAGCATTCTATTAAAATCATGATTTGGGGTTGCATACTATCAGATTATATGATGAGTTAGAACACTATGAGTTAGATTTTTTAAAAAGAGCATGTAAGGATGACATCAAACAAAATGGTAACTTTGTTGCAAAAGGTTGTGTATCTAAGATGTATAAAGAACTATACTCCAGGTAACTGTCATAAAGTTTGATTTTTATATGTCATACAACTTTTGTCAAAAGTACAAGAGAAGTACATGATATATGAGAAAACAGTCTAAGTTAAAAATTCATTCTAAATACTCTAAGCTGTGTATATAGACAGTGACTCTATCAGAAAGCAAAATACTTTGCATTCAATAATGTAAACATTAAAAAAGGATTTTTAGGATGTACCTTTTCTTTTTTAAAAAAATTATTTTTAATTGAAGGATAACTGCTTTACAGTATTCTGTTGGTTTCTACCAAAGATCAACATGATCAGTCATAGGTTTACCATGTCCCCTCCCACTTGAACATCCCTCCCACCTCCCTCCCCTCCCGACCAGGTTTACCGAGCCCCAGAATGAGCTCCCTGAATCACAAAGCAAATTCCCACTGGCTACACACACGGTAATGTAAATTTCCATGTACGCTCTCCATACATCCCCCCTCTCCTTCCTCCCGCTCCAGCCATGTCCGTAAGTCTGTCCTCAGTTAGGTGTCTCCACTTCTGCTCTGCAGGTGTGCTGTTGCTCAGTCGCCAAGTCACATCCAACTCTTTACAACCCCGTGGACTGCAGCACGCCAGGCTTCCCCGTCCCTCACCATCTCCTGGAGTTTGCGCAAGTTCATGTCCATTGAATCAGTGATGCATCCAACCATCTCATCCTCTGTCGCTCTTCTCCTTCTGCCTTCAATCTTTCCCAATGTCAGGGTCTTTTCCAATGAGTCTGCTGGTCGCATCAGGTGGCCCAAATACTGGAGCTTCAGCTTCAGCATCAGTCCTTCTTCCAACAAATATTCAGGGTTGATTTCCTTTAGGATTGACTGGTTTGATCTTGTTGTCCAAGGGACTCTCAAGAGTCTTCTCCAACACAATTCGAAGGCATCAATTCATCCACTCAGCATTCTTTACGGCCCAACTCCCACATCTGTACATGACTACTGAAAAAATCATAGCTTTGACTACACAGAATTTGTTGGCAAAGTGATGTTTCTGCTTTTTAATATCCTGTCTAGGTTGGTCATAGCTCTTCTTCCAAGGAGCAAGCAACCTTTAATTTTGTGGCTACAGTCACCGTTTGCAGTGATTTTGGAGCCCAAGAAAATAAACTCTCTGTTTTCATTGTTTCCCCATCTATTTGCCATCAAGTGATGAGACTGGATGACATGATCTTAGTTTTTTTAATACTGAGTTTTAAGCCAGCTTTTTCACTCCCCTCCTTCACTCACATCAAGAGGTTCTTTAGTTCCTCTTCACTTTCAGCCATTAGAATGGTATCATCCAACATATCTGAAGTTATTAATATCTTGATTCCAGCTTGTTAACTCATCCAGCCTGGCACTTCGCATGATATGCTCTACGTGTAAGTTAAATAAACAGGGTGACAATAAACAGCATTGTCACACTTCTTTCTCAACCAGTCAGTTCTTCATATAAGGCTCTAACTGTTGCATACAGGTTTTTCAGGAGACAGGTAAGATGGTTCAGTATTTCCATCTCTTTAAGAGTTTTCCACAGTTTGTTATGATCCACACAGTCAAAGGCTTTAGCGTAGTCAATGAAACAGAGGTAAATGTTTTTCTGGAATTCCCTTGCTTTTATGATCCAGTGAATGCTGGCAATTTGACCTCTGGTTTCTCTGTCTTTTCTAAATCCAGCTTGAAGATCTAGAAGTTCTCAGTTCATGTAATGCTGAAGCCCAGCATGCAGGATTTTGAGCATGACCTTACTCGCATGGGAGATGTGTGCAACTGTCTGGTGGTTTAACATTCTTTAGTACTGCCCTTCTTGGGAATTGGGATGAGGATGGACCTTTCCAGTCCTGTGGCCAAGGATGAGTTTTCCAAATATGCTGACATATTGAGTGCAGCACTTCGAGAGCACCATCTTTTAGGATTTTAAATAGCTCTGCTGGAATTTCATCACCTCCACTAGCTGTATTGGCAGCAGTGCTTCATAAGGCCCACTTGACTTCACACTCCAGGATGTCTGGCTCTGAGTGAGTGACCACACCAACACCATCATGGTTATCCAGGTCATTAAGATCTTTTTTATATAGTTCTTATACGTATTCTTTCCATCTCTTCTTGAACTCTTCTGCTTCTATTAGATCTTTACCTGTTTCTGTCCTTTATTGTGCCTATCTCTGGATGAAGTGTTCCTCTGATATTTCCAATTTTCTTAAGGAGATCTCTAGTCTTTCCCCTTCTGCTGTTTTTCCTCTATTTCTTTGCATTGTTCATTGAAGAAGGCCTTCTTGTCTCTCTTGTTATTTTCTAGAACTCTGCATTTAGTTGGATGTACCTTTCCCTTTCTCCCTTGCTTTTTGCGTCTCTTCTTTCTTCAGCTATTTGTAAAGCCTGCTCAGACAACCACTTAGCTTTCTTGCTTTTCTTTTTCTTTGGGATGGTTTTGTTCAGTCTCCTGAACAATATTACCAAGCTCTGTCCATAGTTCCTCAGTCACTCTAGTTTACTAGATCTAATCCCTTGAATCTATGCATCACCTCCACTGTTATTCATAGGAGATTTAAGTTGTACCTGACTGGCCTGTTGGTTTTACCCTCTTTCTTTAGGTTAAGCTTGAATTTTGCAGAGAAGCTAACAATCTGAGCCACAGTCAGCTCCAAGTCTTGTTTTTGCTGACTTCACCATCTTCGGTTACAAAAAATGTAATCAATCTGATTTTGGTATTGACCATTTGGTGAGGTCCATGTGTAAGGTTTATATATATTATAAATATATTTATAAACATTTATTAAGCATTATTATAAAACACTGGGGATATAAGCCTGAAGACAGTCCTTATCCTAACTTAAAGGTGTTTATTTATAGTGAGAACACATTAAAAAATATATTTTTTTAAATTTTTTATTTTGTATTGGGGTAGCTGATTATCTGTGTTGTGATAGTTTAAGGGGAACAGCAAAGGGAGTCGGCCATACATATACATGTATCCATTCTCCCCCAAGCTCCCCTCCCATCCAGGGTGGCACATAACACTGAGCAGAGTTCTGTGTGCTATATAGTAGGGTCTTGTTGGTTATCCATTCTAAATATAGCAGTGTGTACATGTCCACCCAGATGACACGCAGATGATACCACCCTTATGGCAGAAAGTGAAGAACTAAAGAGCCTCTTGATGAAAGTGAAAGAGGAGAGTGAAAAAGTTGGCTTAAAACTCAACAATCAAAAAACAAAGATCATGGCAATAGGTCCCATCACTTCATGGCAAATACATGGAGAAACAATGGAAACAGTGAGAGACTTTTTCTTGGTCTCTAAAATCACTGCAGATGGTGACTGCAGACATGATATTAAAAGATACTTGCTCCTTGGAAGAAAAGCTATGACCAACCTAGACAGCACATTAAAAAGCAGAGACTACTTTGCCGACAAAGGTCCATCTAGTCAAAGCTATGGTTTTTCCAGTAGTAATGTATGGATGTGAGAGTTGGGACTATAAAGAAAGCTAAGTGCTGAAGAATTGATTCTTTTGAACTGTGGTACTGGATAAGACTCTTGACAGTCCCTTGGACTGTAAGGAGATCAAACCAGTCAATCCTAAAGGAAATCAGTCCTGAATATTCATTGGAAGGACTGATGCTGAAGCTGAAACTCCAATACTTTGACCACCTGATGCGAAGAACTCACTCACTGGAAAAGACCCTGATGCTGGGAAAGATTGAAGGCAGGAGGAGAAGGGGACGACAGAGGATGGGATGGTTGGATGGTATCACTGGCTCAATGGACATGAGTTTGAGGAAGCTCTGGGAGTTGATGATCGACAGGGAAGCCTGGCGTGCTTCAGTCCACGGGGTCGCAAAGAGTCAGACACAACTGAGCAACTGAACTGAACATGTCCATCCCAAACTCCCTAACTATTCCTTACCCCCATCTTCCCCTCTGGTTCGTTCTCTAAGTCTGAGAACACATGAAGATATTAAAGCATCATAACTGCAATGAAGGACAACTGTGCAGGAAACCTTAGCAGTGGAAAGGAAGAAAAGAGGCATAATCTGGGAAGGGAGGGTAGGAAGTGACCAAGAAAGTCCTCACAAAGGAAGTGACTCATCACTTAACAGAATCTTAAAGAATGAACATGTATCTGGCCAACTGAACTGAGGCAGGGGAAAACATGAGCAAAGGCAATAGGAGTAAAACTTAGGACTGCAAGCATTTTCATATGGTTAGGATGTAGGTTTATTACTTAATGCTGTAAGCCTGGCTTTCAGTGAGGTTTGATAAAAACAATAGCCAAATGGAAGTGTTCAATCCTTCATAAAATCACTGTTAAAGACTCTCATATCACTGTCTTCTTTTCATAGAAATCTATCCTTTAAAATCTTTGTCTCTCATGAAGAGATTATACCCTTCCTCTTTCAGGGAATGAAAACTAGCTCATGATTTCTCCCTAATTTCATTAAGAAGTTCAAAGATAAACAAAGTGAAAGTGAAGTCGCTCAGTCGTGTCCAACTCTTTGCGACCCCATGAACTGTAGCCTACCAGGTTCCTCCGTCCATGGGATTTTCCAGGCAAGAGTACTGGATTGGGTTGCCATTTCCTTCTCCAGGAGATCTTACCAACCCAGGGATTGAACCCGGGTCAATCCCCCACATTGTAGGCAGACGCTTTACTCTCTGAGCCACCAGGGAAGTCCATAACAGTGACTTAATTTCCACTAAGTTGAAATGACATAAACCTTCTATCCGTTTCTGATCTCTTTACTAATGTTACTTTTAACTGTTCTTTTCCACATGTTTCTAGTTTCAATTTTATTTGCAAGTATGAATTATAAATAAATATAAGAATATGGTCCTTGCTTTTGGTTACAGAATTTCGAATATAAAGTTCTATCTCCCACCCTCCCCCATCTCTCTCATACCCACACATGTGCATGCACACACGAAGAAATAATTTCTTCTAATTTTTTTAGGCTAACTTGTGCAGAATTTCAAAAGCAAGAAAAACACAAATTGATTAATATGAAAAATAAAAATCTAACAGGGAAGCCTGGCATGCTGCAGTTCATGGGGTAGCAAAGAGTCAGACACGACTGAGCGACTGAACTGAACCTTATCCACGCTGAATAAGGTCTGATGCTGAGAGGTGATAGCCCTACACAGCTCAGCTGGTAGGCTTACAAGAGGTTTCTCATCTAGGCTATGCGAAGGAATGAAAGCAGGCAACTGCTCCACCAGCAGGGCCATTTTTTTACTACTAAACTGCTACTTTAGTAGCTACTACCACCAAACTAAAAAACTCAAGTAAACTGCTACTAAACATGTAAGGCCAAGGAGACAGAGCAGGCAATACAGAAAAGAGGTGATCTGTGAGACATTCATTTAGGTAGAACATATTATAGAAAAGGTATCATTTGTAGCTATTATGTAAAACACAAAAGCATGGAAAATAGGCATGTTTTGGGGCTTCTTGCCACTATGTTGATATTATGTTTTATCCTAAGTGAGGTACTGGGCATAAACCTTGAGGATATGAAAAAATAAATTCCAGCTAAAATCAAGGCTTATAAGAATGTTTAAGAAATATCTATAAATTAAGTGAGATCACAACCCTCCCTCAACCTCCAAACTACTTTCCTCCACTTGTGAATGTCAGCAGTGATCTATGAAGACTATATGGGCAGGGGCAATGAAGATAAGCTCTTTATTGTGTGCTCTAGCGAACTGGGAAAGAGAAATGAGTAGAAATTTTATTGATTTGGGAGTTACCTCAAATAATAAAAAAACTCAGATGAATATACAATCAAAATCATCAAGTCACACTTTAAAAATGCCAATATAAAGATGATATTTAGAATTCTTCCAAATCACTACTCTGAAATTTAAAAAATAACTAGGAATATATTTCTGGTATACTCTAAGAAAACCTAACTGGGAGAAAGCAGATACAAGATTAGAAACTGAGGGTCTATCCTCTAACTTTAAATGCTCTCCTAGTAACTATTCAGAAAAACTTACCTTTTCATTTTTTCTCCTGCTGATGATTCTGTCCAAACCATTGAAAGCACCAGATGCAACAAACAGAATGTTTGTTGTATCGACTTGTACCGTTTCTCCACGTAGCTTACGGGAATTCTTTTCTGGAACATTGACTATTGTGCCTTCCAATAGTTTTAATAAGCCCTAAATAAAGAAAAAATGATTTATGGCATCATTATATAAGTGTATTATTTATTATACTTTAGATAATGGGATTCAATGGAGAAAATAATATGTGGGTATGGTCAATGAGCACAACTGAAGAACACCTCCACATTTCTATAACTAACATGAAAATCTAATATTCTATCATATTTAATTATTCATAAATTTATTTGGAATAGTGTAGGACTCCTGATGCATTCAGAAAACAATCAACCTTAGAGGTTGTTTTTGATGGTAAAGGCATAATTCTAACATATAGGACTCTCTAAAATGCTATCCAACCACATAGGAACATTCAAAATTTGAATATATTTGAAGATTTGTCTTTCTACTAAAATTCTACTCTACTTTCAGTGTTAAACTTTGAGAATAGCTGTATTTTGAAATACCTTTATAAAAAAAATTACCTAGCACATTTTATATGTGTGATTGGACCTCTCTATGTCCTGGTCAAAAAACAAAAGCAATTTTCCTTACCCTGTAGTTTATGTCATAATTAGTTACCAGTAAAAAAGTCAAGTTAATCAATAGATCATTATGACTTTAATTATGACTCTACAAGGAACAGAGCACTATTTTATCTTCTAAGTGAAAAGAATAAAATACACATACATAGTTCATTTATGCCTAGTTAGAATCAGAACTTTCTTCAAGTGTCCTTTAGAAATGTTTAACTGGGTCTTGGTGGAATAAGCCGACAAAAATTAAATTTCATTTACTTCTTTAAAATATCTTTAATTTCCTAACAAAGGTAATTAGGTATTTAAAATCACCAACAGCTTTCTCTTAGGATCTGAACTAAATAGTCTGGGAAGTTTAGAGTGGGAGAAATAAAACAGAATCTAATTGAATGTGAAACCAAACGTACAATATTTGGGAGGTTGATGTATTCCCTTCCTTTTAGTGGGCTTGAACAAAATATTCAACTGCTTACTTGCTGAACGCCTTCTCCACCTACATCCCGTAACTGATGAATGCCTGGCACACTGCCAATCTTATCTACTTCATCCAGAAAGACAATTCCTATAATTTAAGGAGAATTCTATTTATAATATGAAAAAGACATACATAAGACAATCCAAGCTTTAAAAGCCTAGGTAGCTAGAGAGCAAGGTATTTAATCTTTAACACAACATATGCAATAGTTTAATACAATAAAAATATACTGCCAACTTTTCCACACATCATTTTGTGTAAACGTTTTATAATTTATTCTTACATCATTTGGGTAAAAATAACACTTGGGTAAGATTACCAATTCTCTATGACTATTATAGTTAGCTACCCACTAATGTTTTCAGTTTCTTTATTCTAAGAAGCAGAGATAGAGGTACAGCGTGAAAGCAAAAGGTGGATACAGGGCTGGTACTAGCTAAACTTCAGCTTATTTTTTCCATCTATATTCTTGTCTTAAAGATTTTGGACAGGAAGCTGTCAAGCTCTCCATGTAAACAAGGAGAGATGATAGAGAGGGAAGGAGAAATGTAGCATCTATGACACTTCCTAGGCAGACAAGTTAATATGTTTCTATATACATCTTGCACTCTCTTGCACTTATCTTTTCCCCTTCCCCCAACCCATTTCAGCATTAGGAGTCTGGAGGAAAGTTAGAACAGAATGGAATAAATAATTTGGCCTGTTTTCACTGTAGTAGTATTGCCACCTTATGGCAATAAGACAAAGCAAACTTTGTGGCCCTCAGTACGCTAGAAAACTTAAACACAGCTACTTCTATATAGTTATTGAATTTTACTCCTTGACTCAAAACAAAAAATATAGTATCTCTTGCTATTAGACTGATTCCTCAACAGACTGCATCTGAGGACAGACAAACTTGCTGAAACATACCTTGTTGTGCTTTTTCTACATTATAATTGGCATCCTGGAGCAGCTTGGCAATCACAGATTCAATATCTTCACCGACATATCCAGCCTGAGTCAAAGTGGTGCAGTCACAGATAGCAAAAGGGACATCAAGGCATTTAGCTAGAGTCTGTGCCAGAAGAGTTTTACCTATGAACAGAAGCAGTAACAACGGGCCTCAGGTTTGCTTCTTAAGAGTGAGAACCCCCAGTCAGAAGACACTGGCTACATTTATATTCGATTCTCTTAAATGAGTGGTAAATTTTTAAGTAAGTTATCTACCTGACCCAGTTGGTCCAAGCAGCAAAATGTTACTCTTTTCAAGTTTGATGTCATCATGGGAAGAATCCAATACTTCACCTCCTCGTTTCTCCTGAGGTATTTGTTGATTTACCTGTTGCTGCACTGATGCTCCTAAAGCATTACCATGTGGACTGATTCCAGCAATCTGAAGCAACTCTGAAAAAATGCCAAAGGTATCAGAGCTTCATTTGCTTTCACTTGAAAAAATGCCCAATAAAACCTTACATCTAAAACCAATTACTTATTCAGAAAAAAAATTCTGACATTGTTTGTCTTACCTAAAAGAGAAGGAAGCCTCAAATTATCTAATGACAAATGTGTAATACATGATGATTATTCACAGAACCTCAAGCAAAGGAAATGTATTCTTTTTACGTTCATTACTTATATAAACTGTATGAAGAATATCCTTTTACTGAAAAGAGGGCAGTATCACAGAAGGAGAACAGTGTCAGGAGTCAGAAAGCTTCAGAAATTTGGTCCTTTCTTTGCCTCTGAATAGCTATATGATCCTGAGCTATATCATCATACACACTTTGTGTTTCTGTGCCCTAATCTATAAAATGGCTAACACCTGCCTATCAATTTTAAACACATGACTGGAGGTTTAAGAACAAGATGCAACGGATTTGGAGGCACTCTGAAAGACAAAGGTATATGTACATATATTTGTACAAATGAAAAGAAACAGTGTCATAGAGAAAGGGTAAAAAACATTGAACTGAGAAATAGAAAGCTTGGGTTCTAGTCTCAGCTCTATCATAGGAACAAGGCAAGTCACTTGGCTTTACTGAGCCTGCTTCCTTAGTGAAATACTCTACAACCTCTTCCACACTTAAAAATGCTGCTGTGAGTCTACCAGAGACACCAAGTACAGTAAGACTCATTATCCCTGGTCCTGCCTGAATTTCTGATTTTACAGGATCTCAACTGGATCATTGCCTTTCCTTTATCAGACTTACAATGTTAATTATACGGGAATTATAGTGCTGGTGAACCAAGAGTTTATCAGCTGGATCCCTTTTTTAAAAAATCTTATTCTAACCCTCTCAGCTGAAGGAAAGAATCCCAATACTCTTTTCAACTAGCTAGATTTGTAAATATCTACATTGCTCCTGGCTCTCAGCATTTAAGGTACCTGGGCTCGTATCATATGTCTATATTTTCTAGATTTAGTTGTAACTTGTTTCTGAGAATATCAGTATTTTCCAATACTTTATTATTTTAAGCAAACCAACAGACAGATGTTCAGCAAACATACTACTGAAATCCTGTTCCATCTGGCTGTCATTTTCAAACTATCTTTGGGTCACATCCTTTGGTAAAGGGTTATTCTCTTCACCAAAAATAGGCATTAAACAAACATTTGAATTTAATTAAACTGTACTACATTTGAGGGTTAATGGTCAGTGAATAATGCACAATGCTATGCCTCATTACAATTCAGATCAGGTTAAAAAAAACACAGTCTTCAGTTAGCTAGCTGTCCCCTACCAAGCAAAAAAAATTTAAAAAAAAAAAACAAAACTTTTCTTTTCAAATTTCAGCAAAATCTAGTTAGGAATTGTGACAGCATAAGGAGGTGCAAGGAGATCCAACCAGTCCATCCTGAAGGAGGTCAGTCCTGGGTGTTCACTGGAAGGACTGATGCTGAAGCTGAAACTCCAATACTTTGGCCACCTCATGCGAAGAGCTGACTCATCAGAAAAGACCCTGATGCTGGGAGGGACTGGGGGCAGGAGGAGAAGGGGACGACAGAGGATGAGATGGCTGGATGGCAGCACCGACTCGATGGACATGGGTTTGGGTGGACTCCGGGAGTTGGTGATGGACAGAGAGGCCTGGCGTGCTCCGATTCATGGGGTTGCAAAGAGTCGGACACGACTGAGCGACTGAACTGAACTGAACTGAAGGAGGTGCTTGGCTGAAGAATAGGTCTGCCCAATGGGGAAAAGATGATTTAGGTAACTTGAACAAAATTGTAAGAAGCATATTACCTACAGTGGAATCACATGACACATATATTCAACTTTATGATTTTAAGTTTTTTAAAAATGAGGAATAGTTTAAATAGTACAGAACAAATGACGTTTGTCATTCCATTTATGAAAATATGCCCCAGGGTAAACTTGAGAAAACACTCCTGTTCTTTCAGCTAAGTCTCTGTTCATGCACATCTGCTACTGCCTAAGCAGCTCTTTATAATGAGGACTATGAAGTAAGCAGGCTAGAATAGTTGTATGGAGCAATAGGGCCCTGTGCAAAACTTAAAATTTCTGTGCTTCAACTTTCTTATATGTAAAATGGTGGTGAAAATAATCGTTTCTGTCTAATAGGCTTGGGGAAGATGAAATGAGTATATATGTGTAAAGTGCTTAAAACAGTGCCTGGCAGATAGTTTTACATGTGCTTTGGAAGAATTTACTTTTATATTACTATTTTCCTAGTGTGTAAGTATCTGTATACATAGCCCTTATATGCAAGCCAGCTAGTTCATCTGGTATTTAACATCAGAAAAATTTATGTTCCAATGATGAGGGGAAGAAACCATCAGTCTTAAAATGTTAAAGAGACACATAGTGATCTCTAACATGTGATTTCCAAAGGAATTTCCAAGAATATTTTAACTATATATGACTTTGGCCCAATGTCCTAACATTAGAACCTAATACCCCACATAGGAGAAGACTAAATTATATATGAAAGTAAATTCTACATAAGCTCTAAAAATATTAATTTCTAAGTCAATCAATATATGTAATTACAAATTATTTTGCTTACGTCCTTAAATACTTGTTAACATTTGTATTAAATCACTCTGATAGACTTTACTAATTCATACTAGTTTCACCAGCCACCTGCCCAAAATTATGAATATATAATAACAGCATATTTTATTACATGTAATAAATCTCATGCCAGAGTTGCTGAACTCATTATGTTCTCATGGCTCATCCTGAATATACAGTACAATATTCTGATGTTCAAATATTAGATGTATAATACTGTTTGGTTCAAAGGCAAATGTAAACTTATCAAACTTTTAAGTGGAAAATGTTCACACTGGTTTATCTATTTTGTCTTCTGTGACAACATGAATCTTTTTATGGTAACTTTGGAACCTTCACCCTTTCTTTGTGTAAAAGCTATCTCCACCTCCAAAGAAATGAGTGTAAGACATCAGAATGGCCACTATCACTGGTGTATCAGGTCATTCCGTACCATCCATCAGACCACCTGATGCTTTTAGGGGCAGTCTACAGCTCTCAATAGTGAGCTGGAGGTTATGCATAATTTGTAAGCCTACCCTAAGTTTCATAAACACCAAAAAATAAACAATGTAGTTTCTGGCAAAGAGTAGCCGAAAGATAATATACCTCCCTTAAAATCTGTCACTTACAGGCAGATTAACTTAAAATTGGTTTTTTTTTTTTTTTTAAGGAAAAAAAGGATATAATATTCAAGGTACAAATTTTTAAAAACACAACTTTTGTTAATATGCAGATCTAGATTTATAGAGGAAAACTACATACAATACTTATTTCTTTACGTTAGAAGAAATATCACAATAGAAAAGATAAAATCAAATATCTAAAACAACCCAACATCTATTAACTACACAAATTAGCTATGAAACTGTTCCAAAGTTATATATGCCATGTATAACAAACAAGTTTAGATAATATACAATGCCTTTCTTAGTAATACACAAACAAGTACATATCTATCACAACTAGTGCTGACAAACTTCACTGAGGTAAATCTAAAAAGGAAGAATGATTACAGAGGAGGACCTGAAGAGAGGTCACTTACTTGTAAATCTGTACTCATCCTCCCGTCTTCTTATTTCTAACTCTAAGAAAGAGGATGAAAATGGCAACATGAAAATATTATATATTTGCTTAATTTAGGGGAACAAACAAGGAGTATTCCACTTCTTGCCCTCTTCCAAATATAAAGAATATGTTCATTAATGTTTTTTCAGCTTTCTATAAATTATGAAAGAATTTATATGCTACCTCTTTTCTGTATTAAAAAAAAAACCCAAACATGCTTAATGATGGCTGTATAGTTGCCAGTATTCACATCTGTCAAATACAAAGTTGCTATTTAAGAAAAGAAATGTAGTAATTTAGGTCTTCAATAAGAATTTAAATCCTTCATATTATAAAGACCATATAACCATTTGCTTTTCCAGCACCTAGAAGAGCTTAACTATTAATTTGTTGACTGAAGGAATCAGAAAAATTATTTTGCTCCATGACCAAACAACAATATTTGGACCTTATACGTCATAAACGTTCCAGGTCCTTCATCAGCTACTATAATTTATACTTGCTAAAAAAGTAATTGATCCTACTATGTAAATACTTTGCAGTAAGTTCAAGCAGTGAACAAGTGTCTTCATTAAGGCAGTAAATTATAATATTAGTACCTACTAAAAGTAATGTAATACTAAAAGTACTTAGCAAAACTCCATAAAATTATAACATAGCTAAAAGAATGTAAATAGATATCTGTAGGACAACTCCAAAATTACAGCTCCCTAGCAGCAGCCAAAAAAAAAAACACCCTTATTTACATTTTACTGTATTCATAGTTTTTTAAATAAAATCATTCTGTTAATATAACATATACATGTCCATAGTAAGTTGCCATTACACAGTACATTGGTGCATTAGAATCTATCATTAATAGGAACTATACTTTGAATCACTTACAAATTTGCCCTGAACCTTGCACTGTGTAGCTGAGGCCAAAAGAGAAAGAGGGCTGAATATGTTCTATAAGAGGTACCATTTCCATATATCTCTGACTTAGGAAAATTAAGTTCTGTGTCCTGAACCCCAAAGAGAAGAACTCAAGAGTTGTATACAAAACACTGTGATGATCTAGTCAACAAGAACTACCTGTGGTCAAGTCTACAACTCAAAAATGATGTCTCAATTTGTATACGAGAACCCAAGCACATATACCCAAAAAAAAAGTTTTAAGAAATAATACTTAACAAGTTAACAGACTCTGGTATTTTCTACTCACACTTATTAACTCTCTTTTTTAAATGCGGTTGGAAATGAACTGTAATGATTTCATGAACCACTAATGGGAAGCAACCTGTATTTTGAAAAATGCTGTACTGTACTATAGAAGTATTTTAAGACCAAAGCAAAGAGCTGCAAATAAGGATTACCTCCAAGCACAGTAATCTCTATTTTGGTCAATTATCAAAACACTAACCTCTAGGTGTTAATGATGTCTGCTTCTCAACTTCTGCTTGCTGTCTCAGATTAGCTGGGATATTATTATATATTCTCTTGTAATGATTGTATACAGCTACTGAAAGCACCTTCTTGGCAAATGACTGGCCAACAACATACTTGTCGAGGTAGTTATAAATCTGAAAAATGATTAGAAATGAACAATTTACTGTAAGTCATCACAATATATACACATTAGAGTTAAATACCGAGCACTTTTTTTTTTCCGGGGGGGGGGGGGCCCCGCGCAGGGGTGGGGGGGGGCAGGGGTGGGGGGCGGCAGCACCACACAGCACGAAGAACTTTCCCTACCAGGGACGGAACCTGTGTCCCCTGCAGTGGAAGTGCGGAGTTAACCACGGGACCACAGGGAAGTCTTATATACTGAACTCATTTACTTACAGTTTTAAATTTGAACAAAGATTCTCATTCAAAACAAAATGCCAAGGGCATGATACATTATGCAGCAATGATTTCAGAGGCCCCAAACCTTAAAGATACAACACACCATTCATTTGTTCTCTAGCTTAACAATTATTCCTGTACTTTTCCAGTGCTATGCCAGTTTCTATTCTGTAAACAATGCCAATGATCCTAATTTTTGAAAGTTAATATTAAAGTCAATTAGAATACCTACACTTGCTACCATGGGTCTAAAGCTGTTATCATTAATGAAATCAATTTTAAAAATCTTTTTTACACCTCTTTCAATCATATGAATATTATTCACAAAGATTACATTATAAAACAAATTTTTTCAAAATAGGCATTCAGTTCAGTTCAGTTCAGCTGCTCAATCATGTCCAACTCTTTGCAACCCCATGGACTATAGCACACCAGGCTTCCCTGTCCATCACCAACTCCCAGAGTTTGCTCAAACTCATGTCCACTGAGTGAGTGATGCCATCCAACCATCTCCCCCTCTGTCGTCCCCTTTTCCTCCTGCCCTCAATCTTTCTCAGCATCAGTGTCTTTTCCAGTGAGCCAGTTCTTCGCATCAGGTGGCCAAAGTATTGCAGTTTCAGCTTTAGCATCAGTCCTTCCAATGAATATTCAGGACTGATTTCCCTTAAGACTGACCGGTTGGATCTCCTTGCAGTCCAAGGGACTCTCAAGAGTCTTCTCCAACACCATAGTTCAAAAACATCAATTCTTCAGTGCTCAGCTTTCTTTATAGTCTAACTCTCATATCCACACATGACTAATGGGAAAACCATAGCTCTGACTAAACAGACTTTTGTCGGCAAAGTAATTCTCTGCTTTTTAATATGCTGTCTAGGTTGCTCATAGCTCTTCTTCCAAGAAGCAAGTGTCTTTTAATTTCCTGGCTGCAGTCACCGTTCACAGTGATTTTGGAGCCCAAGAAAATAAAGTCTGTCACTGTTTCCATTGTTTCCCCATCTATTTGCCATGAAGTGATGGGACCGGATGCCATGATCTTAGTTTTCTGAATGTTGAGTTTTAAGACAGTTTTTTCACTCTCCTCTTTCATCAAGAGGCTCTTTAGTTCTTCTTCGCTTTCTGCCATAAGGGTGGTATCATCTGCATATCTGAGGTTATTGATATTTCTCCCGGCAATCTTGATTTCCAGCTTTTGCTTCATCTAGCTCAGCATTTCACATGATGTACTCTGCATATAAGTTAAATAAGCAGGGTGACAATATACAGCTTTGACGTACTCCTTTCCTGATTTGGAACCAGTCTGCTGTTCCATGTCCAGTTCTAACTGTTGCTTCTTGACTTGCATACAGATTTCTCAGGAGGCAGGTAAGGTGGTCTGGTATTCCTATCTCTTTAAGAATTTCTAAGAATAAAACTTTTAAGAATAAAATAGACATTATATACTCAAAAATCATTATACCACCAGTATCAATGTGCTTTAATACTCACAAACATTTAGCTTTTTCTCAGATATTAACTTTAAAGCTACGCATTTATCTAAATGGCAATCTAAAACTCTTCTTGGTAGAAACTAAAACTCTATATGAAATTTGGTTATTGCCAATGGCTTAGTACCTAGGGTAAATTCTTTCAGCTTTTAGTTAACAGAAGTTAACTGCTAATATTCACCAACTCCTGAAGAGAGTTATTTTCTAGAACTTTATTCTCTAGAACTCTGACTCAGATTCTGAAGTCTATACAAATTAGTGAGGAACATAAAGCTTAACAGCTATATTTTCCCCCATTATTTTTACATAACAAATTCTGTAATGGTTGACCATGTATATGTTGTTATGGTTTTTAAAAATCATCATTCCTCATGAATTACACCCATGATTTAGCACATTTGCAGAAACAAATGCACTGGTATCTAAAAAGTCAAAGAAAGCAGAGGGTGAGAAATAACAAGTGTGCAAATACCACCTGAAACGTGGCCAAAGATAACACAGCCCAGAAGCAGGGCTCCTCCTCCCCAGAAAGCACACACCAAGTACCCAATGAAGCTGGTGGTATACTCTGCTGTGTCTCACATTAAATCACAATCCACCTGACTTCAAGAAAGCGCCAACACCACAAAAGTGACAATGTTATATAGGAGTGCCCTGGCACACCGGTCATGAAAAAATACTTGCTTCTATTGTTAGTCTGAGGCTGTTTTATCTCTAATAAAGTAGATTAATTTAAGAGGGAAAAATTTCAGGCTGCTGTTATTTAGGGACCCAAACTAACAAAAACAAATCCCCAGCTGTTCTATTTTCAGGGTATCATTTCAGATTAACTTAGTATTAACACTAATAATCATCAGCTGTATTTCATTGCTATGAATACAATAATCATGATATGGGAAAACAGCAATGCACCCTATACCTAAATTTCAAGTATCAAATATTAATAAAAATTTAGCCAGACACAGCCTATATTATAAAGAACTTACAAAACTTGTTTAGATACTAGTATTAAGATTCAATATAAACTGGAGAGAGAGGAGAGAGAGGAGCAATGAAATTTTCAAGATAAAATGTTTGTAACACTGAGCGAGGACTTATACCTTCTTGGGAGGAGGAGGTGGTTTCTGTTGGAATGCCAATTTTACAGCTTCTGCTGCTGATTCAGGTTCTTTAATTATGCTTTTCTTTGAGTCTGCTTCTGATAACACAACAAAAAAATGATGACATTTTTCACACTTCACAAAGCGGGTGGATGCTGTAAAAGGACAGAGGAAAAATAACTCAAATACTATTTAACTTTAAAGACTTGTTGAAAATTGAAACCTATGTACTTGACGAAAAACGTAGTTCACTCCACTAGTCACAACAGCCAGCCTAATTTGTACCTAAAATAGATGATAAACGTGAGTTCAGTAAACTACATTCTATTCATTTCAGCTAGGTGTGACAGATTTTATCTAGAGAAAAGACTGGTTGAAATTCTTTCGACTTCTCCATTCACTAAAGTTTTGGGTTTTTCTTTTGGCGGGGGGTACACTGCAAAGTTCGCAAGATCTTAGTTCCCCAGCAAAGGACTGAACCCGGGCCCTTGGCAGTGAAAGTGGGGTGTCATCTAACCATTACCAGGGAATTCGCTAAAGTTAATTTTTAAAACTACCACTGTATTATTTTATTCAAATACTAGAATGAATAAACTGTGGGAAAAAAGTAAAGTACAAATAAATTAATCTGTAATAAAATTAACATTTTACTACAAGAAATTACAAACACAAAAGTTGAAAGAGAAAAATCCATTTTAATCCCTAAAAAATGTAAAATATATATACATTCTTAAGGTTCTTTTCAAACTTGTGAGCATTTTTAAGACCTTGACTTGGTAAATACATAAAATTATTTCATACCTTTCTTACTATCTTTATTCCACTAATTCCTATTTCTTTGACCTAAAAACCACTAAGAAACTGGGACTTCCCTGATGGTCCAGGGGTTAAGAATCTGCCTTGCAATGCAGGGGACACAGGCTCAACCCCTGGTCAGGGAAGTAAGATCCCACATGTCATGGGGGAACTAAGGCCATGCACCACAGCTGGAGAGTCCGTGAACAACGCAAGATCCCATATGAGGCAACACAGATCCCGTATGCTGCAACCAAGACCCAACACCGTCAAATAAATACATTAAAAAAAAAACCACTAAGAAACTAACAAAATATAATCATACAGCTTTTGGAAACTGTGCAGGGCAGTTAAAAGTGAAGATGAAATGGGTTTCTCAGTTCCAAGGCATCACTATAGATATCTTGTGTTTAAAACAAAAGTGATTTCCTCTTTTTGGATACAGGCACATATTCTTAATCTTCTTCAAGCCTAATTCCACTAATGGTAACCAAGGACCTCAGAAAGCAGCATGGTAGAGAATCCCATATAGACTATTAACAGATTCAGAGCAAAATATACACAGGAATTAGTTACATGTTGGTAGGTCTAGTAATACATTTTGGTGTTACCTTTGTATAACCTAACTAAACAAAAGCAAAGAAAAAGGATTTTTTAAACTATGGGAATCGCTGTCCTTTGGGAATATTATAACTATCTATCCACAGATTACAAAAAAAACTGCACTGGCAAGCACACCTCAATCTTCACAAAATAATCGAAGTTTAAAAAAATAGACAAACACACACACACACACACAAATAGACAATACCACATTTAAAAAATAAATTTAATTATTAATGCAACCAATTTAATTATTAATGTCTGCTCTTAAACAAAAAGTCAATCAAAAATGTACAATCTGGACAAATTCTAGCCACAAATTTTAAACTAGATGAGGGATCACTTCTGTATTCCATTCATCAATCACCTAGTAAGGCTTCCCTAAGGAAAAAGATCAAGCTATTTCAAGTACTCTTGATTAACACAAGTCAAAATTCATTATCACCAATTCCCACCAATGGAAAAGATAGTGGCTTTATATTTTGACCGGGCACCAGTTTATAATTGTTACTGATGGCAGTAAACAGGGCAAGGATTAAAGGGCAGGGAAGCCTCTAATCTAGTTCAGGCTGTGTCACCGGAAAATCTGGTCTGAGAACACAAGAACAAAATATTTCTCTGAAGAAATTAGGTCAAAGGGAAAGAGAAACACTGACAAAAAAACATTCCTCTTTGCTTATTCCTCATTCCTCTATGAAGGGTTGCTTAAATTCTACCTGATATTTGCAATACTGTTTTACACTGAAACACATTCAACATACAACCAAGTTCAACTTATCAAAATGCTATTTCAGAAAAACAAGTAAACAAACATTGTAATGCATACTTTTTACTCCTAAAAACAAGGGGCAAAATCTGATTTTGTTAAATTTTCAGGGGATAAATAAACCTCACTTGAAATGATTACTACAGGTATTCTATATTCCTTTACAAACAGAATACTGATGCCAATAAACATGCTTGTATAGTATATCAACAACAGATGAAAGATTACCTTAGTAAAAACTTTTTCAGGATATTTGTTTAAATGAAAGTTCTTCATAATTCTGAAAAAGTTTCAGGGTCAAAGATAAAATCTCCAAACCACTGCATAAAAGTTTATCCTCACTCTATGAGACAGATAATTACAGTAAGCCTTCAAAAAGTATTATATACATAAAAATAAAAACTAAAAGCTCCATCCAAAAGCAAGAGAAGGTGCAGTATAACTGTTTAAATGAAGTACAAACACAGGCAAAACCAATATCCAGTGATGAAAGTCAAGGTAGTGGTTACATTCGGGGAAAAGAGGTTAGTGACTGGGAAAGAACATGAGGGAGCCTTCTGGGGTGCTGTGAATATTGCTATGTATATCCATCACACTGTACACTTAGAATCCATGCATTTTCTTTCCTTGTCTGTATATAAATTATACCTCAATTTCCCCCTTAAGTTAAATAAGAAAGAAATTTTTTAAAAATCCCAAGAAAAGCCCAAAATAAAAAATCCCACAACTAAAGGCTCTACCTTAAATAAAACTAGGGACACTATTCATAAAGTTATTTTTTAAAAGGGCAAACAAAAATTAATATATATCCTTATAATCAACAATCTTAGATATTATTTAAATTTCTGATGATTTTCTAAATACTCATTATGGGACCAACAGAAATGGTATTTTATTTCAACAAAGTCAGTCAAGCAACAGTGGTACCACTATAAGAAAACATAAAAATCACTATAAACATATTTGTGAGATGAAATATGTACAGGAAGATCAATGAGCTAAGAACAGCTTTTACATTTAAAAAAAGGACAATGATAGTTAATGAAACTCAAATTTCAGTGTCAGACACAAAACTTGATTGGAATACAGCCAATTTCACTCCTTTACACTGTCTATGGTCGTTTTTGCATGGTAACAACAAAGGAGAAAAGTCACAACAGAGACTATATGGCCCATAAAGTCTAAAATATTTACTACTTGGTCTTTATAGTAAAAGTTAACCGACTTCTATATAGCATTTAAAAATAAAGAACTACCCATAGGATAAGAAAAATATTTGCAAATCACGAATCTAGATAAGGGCCCAGTATTCAGAATAAAGAACTCTTCCACCTCAACGATAAACAGATAACCCACACACACACAAAAAAGAAAAAGATAACCCAACCTAAAAATGGACAGAAAGTGTAGTCTTCTCCAAAGAAGACATACAAATAGTCAATAAGCACATGAAAAGATATTTAACATCTAGTCATTAGGGAAATGTAGATCACAACCATGATGAGCTATTAATACCACTTCCTATTCCTATGATGGCTATAATAAAAAAAAAAGGCATAAATGTGGAGGATGTAAAGAAATTAGAACCCTTATAACCTACCTTGTTAGTGGGGTTGTAAAATGGGACAACATCTATGTGCTGTAAAGTCGCTCAGTCATGTCCCACTCTTTGTGACCACACAGACTGTAGCCCACCAGGCTCCTCTGTCCATGGAGGTTCTCCAGGCAAGGATACTGGAGTGGGTTGCCATTCCCTTCTCCAGGGGATCTTCAAAACACAGGGATAAAACCCAGGTCTCGCATATGGCAAGTCAATTCTTTTCCATCTGAACGACCAGGGAAGCCCAAGAATACAGGAGTGGGTAGCCTATCCCCTCTCCAGGGGATCTTCCTGACCCAGGAATAGAACTGGGGTCTCCCACATTGCAGGCAGATTCTTTACCAGCTGAGCTACCAGAGAAGCCCTTATACTTTGTTAGGAACATCTACAGCAGTCCCTTAAAAAGCTAAACAGTTACCATCTCACCCAACCATTCCATTCCTAAGCATATAGCCTGCCTCTTGGGGCTCATCTCAACACAGCTTAACCATTAATAATTGTTTATCAATTAAAATTGAGCCAGGTGGCTCAAATGGTAAAGAATTCACCTGCAATGCAGAAGACCCAGGTTCGATCCCTGGGTCGGGAAGATACCCTGGAGAAGGGAATGGCAACCCACTCCAGTATTCTTACCTGGAGAATTCCATGGACAGAGGAGCCTGGTGGGCTACAGTCCACAGAGTCACAAAGAGTTGGACACTACTGAGCAACTAACACACACAAGCAAAACAAAGAAGGAAAGAGTTTTCTTAAATTATTTTTTTTTTAATTATCTTATACCATGATAGTTCAAAGCATTACTAGTCCAGGGGATTTTTAGTATCTGGTGACTATAAGAAACACTATTGTAAGTTCAGGGAAAAAATAATTTTGATGTATATAAGGTATAATGTATATATTTCTGTGCAATTTATGATTTATAGAAAAGGCAGGGAAAAAGAAGAACAGAAGTAATACTTACACACGAAGGTCTCTACATGTGTGCATAAGTCGCCACATTTAGGACAGCGAAGCTGGTTTCCACCTTTCCCAGAATTCCCAGAGCCTGATTTCTTACTGCTTCCCTCACTTGCTGATTTCTAATGTTTGTGCAAGAAAAGAAAAAGTGTCAATTATTACTTTCAGGCAACCACTATGTAACTTTAAGTTTGTATTTAAATATATGTTTATATTGTTTGTAATTAATATTATAAAAAAACCAGTTCTAGTAAAAACATATTTATTGTTTCCCTTCTTTACATGGTATGATCCAGCATGTAAAGCATGTATAATAATTAGCTTTTTTTCAATGACAGTAAATACTAGAGGAAAAAAAAATCAATAAGCACTAGTAACTAAAAAACTTACTATGAAACTGAATTGAGAGTTATTACCATGGCAAGTAGTGACTCAACTTTCTTAAATCTAACTTTTGTCATCTCTCAAAAAAAAGGGGGGGCGGTGATCATTTCACCTACTTTAGAGGGGCACTGTTAGGATAAGTGTGTATATGAAAACACCTAGCATTTTGTCTCACACATATTAATAACTCAAGTGTTAATCAAATTTGCATAATAAAAAACATGATTATTCACTGACCTAATAAAGTTACCAATCATTTACTTCCTAGCCACAGAGTTCAGTTCAGTTCAGTCACTCAGTCGTGTCAGACTCTTTGCGACCCCATGGACTGCAGCACGCCAGGCCTCCCTGTCCATCACCAACTCCCGAAGTTTACTCAAACTCATGTCCATTGAGTCAGTGATGCCATCCAACCATCTCATCCTCTTCCGTCCCCTTCTCCTCCAGCCTTCAATCTTTCCCAGCATCAGGGTCTTTTCAAATGAGCTACAGAGTAGCCCACCATTAAGTCATACAGATATCCAAGATTTTTAGCTAGAGGATGAAGTAAGGTTTATATTATCATGAGTTTTAAGAGCTGTGTTGAAGCAGAAAAGGATGGCTATTCTTAATCCAACCAACCATCAGACTGACTACATACATTATTTAATGAAGCTTCTTTACTGTGTTGGGGTGTTAGAAATTTTAATTACTGCTGACCAATGAAATGCTTATCAAATAATTTTATGGTTCAGGCTGATACACGAAATAAAAATACATAAAATTCTTCATATCATTTTATATTTCCTACAGAAAACATGGGCTTCCCTGCTGATTCAGCAGCAAAGAATCTGCCTGCAATGCAGGAGACACAGGTTTGATCCCTGGGTCGGGCAGATCTCCTGGAGAAGGGAATGGCAACTCACTCCAATATTCTTGCCTGGGAAATGCAGGAGAGAGTCACCTGGTGGGCTACAGTCCATGGGGTCACAAACAGTGGGATACAACTTAGAAACCAAACAACAATGAAAACATATAACCAATGAAATACAGAGTACTATTTGTATTTATTTAAATGAGAACTATTATATTTGTTTAAATGAACTAAAATATGTATATAGATGCCAATAAAGATAAAATACCTTATTTCCATCTCCAGAGCCATCTTTACTTATCCCATCTCTTGAGGCAAAGTATGCTGGTGTTTCTGTAAAAGCTCTAAAAGGAGCTCTTCGTAGAACCTGAGTTTCAAAGGTCCCAAGCCTTCCTAAAACCGGTATATGAATACGACTACAAGAAATACCTGAAAATACAATGAAATTTATTTAGTCTACACATCAAACATTAACACGCCTTCAATAAATCCCCTGGAAACAAAAATCCCTTAAGCAAGGAAGTTGAAAAAGTTAACAGTTTTCACAGCAATAGTACAAAGACACCATCCGCAAAAACTGGCCAGACCTGTGCTTTAGAAGTGAGGAAAGAACAGAGACAACAATTAATGGCCCTTTCAAAGTGTGAGAGATAAGTAGTTCAACACTTGCCTCACTTGTAGGGGAACAAGGGCACTTATGTTCTATATTATTATATGTCTTGTATCTACCAACAAGAACAAACAAAATGTAAACAAATAGGTGTCTGGATCTGTTCTATGGGATCATAGTTTGCTGACTCCTGCTTCTCTGCATACAAATACAAAATAACCCCCCATATAAATTATAGTCAATGGCAAAAGAGCCATACTCCAGACTGTGAGGCAGTTATTTCCCAAGTTGGTCTTTAAAAGACTGCTCCCCCCCAAAAAAATAAATAAAATAAATAAAAGACTGCTCTCTACACAAGAAAATTGAATGGTCATAAGTTAAACAAAATTCCACAGACCTCAATACCCTAGAGCTACTTAGAATCTTGCAAAAGCTAATAATGTACATTGGCCATGAAGCAAGTTTCCCAGCAGTTTACCAGACTGCTATTAGGAGGTGATTAAACAACACTGGGGGCGAGGCCACCGGTGGTGGTGGTGGTGATGAACACTTAGATAAATTTAAGAAGCTGATTTTGCCTCCCTCATTTTATTCCCTGCACAATTCACAACTCAGGATTTAATTTCTACACTTGTTACGGCTTTTTAAAAGATACACTCTTGTATATGTTGTATTCAAATGCAAAAACTGGTTTTAAATTATGTAGGTAAAATAATTCAAAAACAATTGCTTAGTTATACAACTCCCTCCCATTTTCCAACTCGTTTTACCCTGAATAACTTATCACCGTAGGCCATCTCAAATTCCACAAAACACAAAAATGAACCCACCAAATTACTCAGCAAAGATACAAACAAGAGGAAAAAAATTTTCATTTCTATATAAATTCACAAAGAACACCAAAAAAGCTGGAAATAGAACTGCCATATGACCCAGCAATCCCACTTCTGGGCATACACACCGAGGAAACCAGATCTGAAAGAGACACGTGTACCCCAATGTTCATCGCAGCACTGTTTATAATAGCCAGGACATGGAAGCAACCTAGATGCCCATCAGCAGATGAATGGATGAGGAAGCTGTGGTACATATACACCATGGAATATTACTCAGCCATTAAAAAGAATTCATTTGAATCAGTTCTAATGAGATGGATGAAACTGGAGCCCATTATACAGAGCGAAGTAAGCCAGAAAGATAAAGACCATTACAGTATACTAACACATATATATGGAATTTAGAAAGATGGTAACGATAACCCTATGTGCAAAACAGAAAAAGAGACTCCTATGTATAGAACAGACTTGTGGACTCTGGGAGAAGGCGAGGGTGGGATGTTTCAAGAGAACAGCATTGAAACACGTATATTATCTAGGGTGAAACAGTTCACCAGCCCAGGTTGGGTGCATGAGACAAGTGCTCGGGCCTGGTGTACTGGGAAGACCCAGAGGGATTGGGTGGAGAGGGAGGTGGGAGGGGGGACCGGGATGGGGAATACATGTAAAAAAAAAAAAAAGATACACTATGGTTGTGATAAAAAAAAATAATAAATTAATTAATTTAAAAAAAAATAAAAAAAATAAAATTTTCATTTCTATATAAATTCACAAAGAACACCAAAAAAGATTATGACATCCCAGTCCCAACCCAAAAAGTGTAAAATTTTAACACTATTAAGCTTGAATATTGAGGGGAAAAAAATTTGATGCATTCCTTATAAGTAACATTTTCAAGACATTTCAAATTTTCTCAAGTGTAACATTTCCATGTTTTGCAATAAACTGTGTTAGCCATTACTCTCTCATTGGTGATGCCACTGAGTCGGTGATGACTCAATGGACATGAGTTTGAGTAAACTCCAAGAGCTGGTGCTGGACAGGGAGGCCTGGTGTGCTGCAGTCCATGGGGTCGCAGAGAATCGGACACGACTGAGTGACTGAACTGAACTGACTCTTGTTAGAGAGATACAGTTTATGAAATTTAAGCTAAACATTAATGTTTTTTCAAGGACATAGTATGATTTAAAGACTATGTCCCTCTAAAAAGCAAGTTTAGACAGTTATGGGGGAGAGGGATAGATGAAATCAAAAATGCAGAAAGCTGAATGTACCTTGGGGCTGGGTGATGGGTATTTGGGGGTTCAGTGTTCTATTTTGTGTGTGCTTGAGAACATCCATTAAATGAAAGATAGCATAATACAATAATTTACTATAATCTATGTAACAAGTGTCATTTTTTAACTGAATTTTCATGATGTATTCACAAAAAAAAACCCACAATTATAACAACCTTTATATTTGTACTTGGATGTTATATTTGTACTCATGTTTAGAACAAAATTTATACCTGAAGTTTCACATATAGTGTATTATTTTCCACTTTTATCTTTTAAAATAGTATTTAACAATGTACAGTATCTAATACTATTAGAAAATAAGCTGAAAGGAAATTATCTTTGGGAATTTAAGAGAAGTAAAAATTATGAACATGATTCTTTTAAAATCTACTTGAATAGAAAGAAAAATAAGTCCTTCACTTGAAATAACTTATGAGGTAACATATGAAACCAAACTACACAGTCACCACAGAAAATAAAATTTTAAAAATATGTTCATGTCATTTAGACTTCTAAATTTAAGAATTTCTTTGCTGGCCCTGATAGTATGGTACTGAAGTGGTGTTTTAACATTCTATAATCTAAGGGCTACACCAACATGATGCTGTAAATACTAAACCACTGGTTCCCAAACTTGGGCATGCATTAGAATCACCTGGAGGGCTTGTTAAACCACAGATTGCAGAGGATCTTCCCTAGTCCTGATTGAGAGGGTATGAGGTGGGACCCAAGAATGCATTTCTAACAAGTTCCCAGATGATGCTGATACTGCTGGTTTGAGGACCACACTTTTTAAAACCACTGTACAAAACAAGGTAAATGACCAGTCATTCACCAATCATACAACATCTTCACAGAAAGCACTGCAGCAAACCAATCAGGAATTTTTAACCCTTTTTTTTTTGGTCCTCTGGCACGCTGGTAAAGCCTATTCAGAACATTTTTAAATGTACAGAATAAAATATATAGGAACCCAATCATTCTGAAGTAGTTATCAATATATTTTTAAAAAATGCTTCTTAACAAAATTAAACAAGATCTAACAGCTTTTAAAATAACGATGATTTCAAAGTAGTGGAAAGTGTAAACAACACTTTGGGCTATCAGCAATGTAACGTGAAATGAAAACATCTGTGATTTTGACTGGTGACAATTCCACAGGTATTGCTACTACTACTACAGTTTCTTGCCTATATTTATAACTGAAGGAAATGCTACATTTCACCCAGAGACTAGTGAAAATAAAGTTCAAAGAACCTCTGAATTTTACCCCTGGGCCTTTTGGAAGCCTGTGAACCCAGATGAAGAATACCTAAAAGCCAAACAAGGGAAAGTATTTATGTGAAGTATATTTCAAAAGACTACTTGGCAGTAATGACAGAAGACAGTTAAAAGTTAAACCACTTACAAACTTCTGTCATAAAGATAAAGCTCTGAGTTTCAGAGCAGCTGTTTTTTTTTAAAAAAAATATCTACTAGAATAAGGTATAATGATTTTAGGGCTTTTAAGAACAGGAAAATATTTTATTCAGTGTCTAAATACTTAACTTCCTATACTCACTCTTAAACTAAGCATTCTCCAAAAACACACCAATGATTCAACTTAAAAGATAAACTGATCTTTAACTTGCATTTTAGAAACAGAGCGAAAGAACTAATGAAAATTTAAACCTAGCTATTTGTGGTGACATATTTAAGTGTTTAACAGCTTATGAAATGGCAAATCAACTTGGATGCTCTCTTAAACACTTGACCCCTAACACAAATTGGAAACAAAATTCAACAAAAACTCACAGTGCTTGCAATTTAGTAGATACTTACTGTTCTTAATAATCTCAACTTTTTATGTCCGAGTTATTACTTCAGGAATTCTGAATACTTATTAAGAAAAATAACATGACTCCTATAATAGCTTTCCTTAAGTTTAAAAATATTTGACAGGTTTTCACTAACACTACTAATCCACTGGTCTGAAGGTGAACATGCCCAAAAAAAAGAGAAGTGACTAGGAAATAGTGTGTATAGGAAATAAAGATGCTCTATCACTTATTCATTTTGTCTTATTTAATCTGTATTGGATTTAATCACAAGACTGGGAGGGAACTAAAATCCACCTAAAAACTATTAAGTTAGGCACATTATGTAACTATCATGAGAATTATGGATGCCAATCAACAAGTTTGAGCATCTTCAAATCTTCATTTACAACCTTATGAGGTGACACCCTTTCAATGGACAAGAACAGAAAGCATCCAGAAATCAAGAGAGTTATACAGAATCGCACAACTCTCACAGCCAAATTCAGATCAAGTATTGTTGCTGAGGATTTTTTAAATGGAATCAAACATTTTTGAATGCACATACTTAAAATGCAAACTGACTGTTATACATAAGTACATTTTAAAAAGACATACACCAAAAAAAAAAAAGAAAAGACATACACCAATGCTGAAAACACCAGCAATTTGAGCAAAAAAATATTAAAAATTTTTACTTTTATATTTCATATCCAAAGAAAACAGTGAAGAAAATATTAAATTGGATATATATAGCCCAACAGGAAAACAGATCCAGTGTCTAGTATGACAATTTATCAAATAATTTTTCAAACTACCATTTAAAATTTTTAAAGTATAACATGACAGAAAAAAAAAAAAATTCTCAAAAAAAAAAACATGACACATAAAGCAACAGAAACAGAGAACAGCACTGTACTTCAGAGGAGTTATGACATCTCCCCTTCTATTCTTAAATCACTGTACAATTTCCTGTTAGAAGACTATTGATGAAATTATTTAATTATGTTGCTGAAATTCTTAACTCTAATTATAAGAATACACTAGTTAAGTTCAATTCTAATTTTTCTATCTTTCACTCTCTTCCTCTTTCCAGGAATTCTAAATAAAAATAACCTTCTTGGAGGTTTTTCAGGCTTAAAAAAAAATTATTTTTATATTTTTGTAAACTTATGTATAGAGTTTCTACCATGGAAAACAAACATTTTATGTAATTAAGCCTTGGGAAAGTCTCAAATCCATGTGAAAACCATTTGATGTTTCATTGTCACATAAAAATATTAAATTCTACAATGATATTGGGTAATATCTAACATTTTAAGTTTAATTTACTCCTTTACAGTAAAAGCTATGGTTTGGTATTTCTGAAAAGCTCTAGTAAACTTGTATTAACTGAGAAACAAAGAGATAATTCCTAAATAAGCCATTAATTCTTCACTTACCTAAGGAGAGATTTAATTTTTTAAATTAATTTTTATTGGAGTATAGTTGCTTTACTAAATTTAATTTTTAAAGGAGCTGTTGCTTTGAAAAGAAAAATAAACAACTGCACACTTCCTACAATTCAGTTTTCAGGGACAATTGATAGAAATGAAGACTTTTGTCAAAAGGAGCCTTCCTACCCAAGGAGAACACCCACATATTTCATACAGGCCCAGAAACAATATTATTCTTTGTCTAGTTCTCTAAACTTGAAGGTATGGACTTATTCCCCCCTCCATCTCCAGCACCAAAACAGGGCCTGGCACACAGGAGGCTGTCAACAACTGTGTCAGATAAATGAATTCAACTATTTGTCACTTTCAAGTGTTTGCAACTCAAAATTGCTAAAATATGGATGTCTACTTGTTCAGGTTTAACAATGTCTGGGGACTAAATTCACTCCTTTACATTTACATACCATTTTAGAAAATGCTTCTGCCCACACAACCTCATCTCATCGCTGCGTGAAATAAACTGTCAGAAAATAAACATTTAGTAAACAGTAAGGATTTTACAATGGTGCTAAATATTAGGAATAGGGGGCTTCCCCCCTCCGCCCCGAGATCACAAGCTGATAATCCAAGACAAAACGAATTTGCCTAGAACTTAGTGATTGAAACAGGATCTAGCCTGTTGTCAGCTACTTATTTAGGGAAGAGAAAAAATGGTTTCTTTTCTGAAATCTCTTGGCTGGGGTACCATCCTTTCGCAGCTCCTGATAAACAGAAAAGAAAGGTAAACAAGCGCCACCCTTCAAAAACTATTTCCGACTGTCAAGTTAGGAAACCCGGCAAACGACTGCGGAGACACCCAAGTACTTCAAAAACAAGCAGAGCAAACCGGCACCTCCTCAGACGCTTTCCCGCGGCCGCCCAGAAACAGCACGAGTCCGGCTTACGTCCCGGCGTGAGCGGCCGCACAGTGACTGTGACATCCCGGGCCTCGCGCGGCCTGCGCCCGGGACGGCCGGGTCGGCGCCCCGAGGCCCCAGGGGACCCCAACAGTGGCAGCTTTCCATCCGAGCCCTTCCCGCGGGAGCCGAGGGGAACCCTGCCGGGCTCCGGAAGAGGAGCCGCAGAGCAGCCGGCAGTCCCCGGAGTAGCTCTGAGTGGGGTCTGGGGACACTTTTTAGCAAACGGAGCAATGTGTCCCCCGCTCTCAGGGTTTCTGCGAAGCGGCCACATTCTAGCCCCAAAGGCCAGCAGGTTGGGGAGCACAGGGGGGGTTCACCTCAAATGTGAGAACAGCTGCTCCAGAGGTTGGCAGAGTCCCATGCCACGGAAACGGGGCTGGGGTGGGGAAGGGGGGCTGCCAGGAGAAGCACCGAGTGGTGGGGGCGGTCTCTTGCCCTCCCCGGAGTCTCCACCGCCCGCCAGGACACTCCTGAACCAAGGGCTCAGGTGAGGGACTGCTTCGTTACCTCTTTGAGCGGAGACGAGCGATGAGCTAAAGATTCGCGCAGCCGCCGTGCCGCAAGTACAAGCTCCGCAGCCCGACATCTCCGCGGGGCCTAGGCCGGGGCTTCGCCCCCAGCGGCCCTCTGGATCTCAGCGGTCTGCTCTTACTCGCAAAGTTCGCTACCTTAGCTTCGGAATCGCTTGCCCGCTCTAGGCCCAATGCAGCGTCGACCCGCTTGGCACCAGGACCTCCGCTCTCCGTGCCCCACTGCCGTCTACTCAATAGACACCTAACTCCCCCCACCCTCCCCTCCCCTTTCCCCCGCTCCCCCCTCCCCGCCCACCGAGCCCCGGGAGCGTGCGCGCGCCTGCGTCCTAGGTCTCGGGAGGGGCGTGGGCACGCGCCGCGCGTGCGTGGGACACCGGGGTACGGCGAGGGGAAGGGGGCGGCGACCTGGGCTCCAATGAGCAGGCTCCTAAGGCAGGCGGCCGACCCGAACTGGGGAACTACTAGTCCCGACAAACGATTCTTCCGGAAGTCTCCAGAGTAGAAAAGTTTGCTATGGAAGCGGAGAGATGCATTCTGGGAGTTGTAGTCTCAACTCGTCGCAGTGAACTGGTCCATTTTCGACTCTTGGCTGGGAAGGTCACAGTGAAGCCGGCGGCTTGGCCGGCCTCGAGAAGTCTTGAAAGCCGCCAATTCAGTAAGAGTCGATAAGTTCCTTCTTCCGAGGGTTCCACATCCTTATCCTTAGGGACACGGAAGTGGTGGCATTTGTTTTTACTAAGTTCTCAAGCCACTGTTTGATGACAGCTCTCTTTCCTTGTTTTTTCAGGCCTAGTGGTGATAACTTCCAGCCGTTGCTAGTCCCGGGGTTCTTTACAATCGTCTGTCTGTCCCCTTAAAGCTGAGCACACTTTGGTAAACACTTCATTCGGCTCTCTTCTGTTACCCTTCCACCCCTGCGTGTGTATGGCTGCTTTCTCTCTGTATATCTAAAGCAAATCAACCAGCTAACTGACAAGGTGCAGGATGGTGACAAATGAATCAGACCCTTTTCCATCCGTGTGGGCACCAGACTACGTTGTATATAAGATTCTGATCAACTCCGAAGCCTGGAGAAATTGCCAAGTGAGCTTGGACATCTTCAGTTCTGAGCTGGGGGAGGAGGGTGGGGAAGGAGAGGAGCAGGAGGACGACACGCGACTCAGAGGCAAAGTTATTTAACCATCATCAGTCTTGGATCAGAGAAATGTGACTTACAGTTCCCCAGTCTGGCCATGAGAAGGGGCACTGGCCCAGGCCACATGTGATTTTTGTCTCTCTGGGTGCTAACTCCTAGTACTCCTTCAGCTTAAAGTGACAGAGACCAAAAGCCCAGGTCTTAACTCAGCTGCCTTCATGAATAGAATTTTCAGAGAGTATAGACTCTAAAGTTCCTTCATCCCACTGTTTTCAAACTGTGTTTCTAGAATTCCCTCAGAAGCCAAAGCTCTTTGTGGGTGTGAGGGGACTAAGAGTGGAACTCTCCAAACACTTCTTCAAGCCACTGCCGAAGTCAATCAGAGCAGATCTGCTTTAATAAACTGTTTAATTTATTGAGGTTTTGCTTGAAAACACAGTTGTTCTGCTTTAAAACAATATTTGAAAACCACTGATTCTAGGACAAACTTCTTTTAGCAGTAAGCTAAGTAGGTCTCCTGGAATCTTTAACATCCGATTTAATCCTTTCATTCCACTCTACCTTCTATTTCAATTATATACACATTTTCTCATTATTATATAAAGAAGTTGTTTGCTAAAATTTATATATTGCTATAAAGCAAGATGAATAAAAGCATTGGTTAGGCCAGGTCTCATCTGGGGGCACCCTATGAAAACTTCCCTTTCTCTGTCTGTTCTAAGGACTTGACTTATTCAGTCAGCAAATATTTATTGAGCACCAGTTACATGCCAGACACTGGGGAAATTGCATTGAAGAAAACAAAAAAGTTTCGTGGAGCTTCTAGTGGGAAAAAATAAGATGGTAAGTAAACAAAAATATGTGACATTGCTATGATGACATAGTTCAGTTCAGTTCAGTCACTCAAGTCGTGTCCAACTCTTTGCGACCCCATTGACTGCAGCACCCCAGGCTTCCCTATCCATCACTAACTGCCGGAGCTTACTCAAACTCACATCCATCAATTCGGTGATGCCATCCAACCATCTCCTCCTCTATCATCCCCTTCTCCTCCCGCCTTCAGTCTTTTGCAGCATCAGGGTCTTTCCCAGTGAGTCAGTTCTTCATATCAGGTGGCCAAAGTATTGCAGTTTCAGCTTCAGGACCAGTCCTTCCAATGAATATTCAGGACTGATTTCCCTTAGGATTGACTGGTTGGATCTCCTTGCAGTCCAGGGGACTCAAGAGTCTTTTCCAACAGCACAGTTCAAAAGCATCAATTCTTTGGTGCTCAGCTTTCTTCATAGTCCAACTGTCATATCCATACATGACTACTAGAAAAACCATACCTTTGACTAGATGAACTTTTGTCAGCAAAGTAATTCTCTGCTTTTTAATATGCTGTCTAGGTTGGTCATAGCCTTTCTTCCAAGGAGCAAGCGTTTTTGAATTTCATGTGTGTAGTCACCATCTGCAGTGATTTTGGAGCCCAAGAAAATAAGGTCTCACTGTTTCCATTGTTTCCCCATCTATTTGCCATGAAGTGATGGGACCGGATGCCATGATCTTAGTTTTCTGAATGTTGAGTTTTAAGACAGTTTTTTCACTCTCCTCTTTCACTTTCATCAAGAGATTCTTTAGTTCTTCTTTGCTTTCTGCCATAAGGGTGGTGTCATGTGCATGTCTGAGGTTACTGATATTTCTCCCGGCAATCTAGATTCCAGCTTGTGCTTCATCCATCCTGGCATTTTGCATGATGTACTCTGCATATAAGTTAAATAAGCAGGGTGACAGTATACAGCCTTGACACACTCCTTTCCTTATTTGGAACCAGTCTGTTGTTCCATGTCCAGTTCTAACTGTTGCTTCTTGACCTGCATACAGATTTCTCAGGAGGCAGGTCAGGTGATCTGGTATTCCCATCTCTTTAAGAATTTTCCATTTTGTTGTGATCCACACAGTCAAAGGCTTTGGCATAGTCAATAAAGGAGAAGTAGATGTTTTTCTGGAACTCTCTCGCTTTTTCGATGATCCAGCGGATGTTGGCAATTTGATCCCTTCCTCTGCCTTTTCTAAATCCAGCTGGAGCATATGGAAGTTCATGGTTCATGTAGTGTTGAAACCTGGCTTGGAGAATTTTGAGCATTACTTTGCTAGTGTGTGAGATGAGTGCAATTGAGCAGTAGTTTGAACATTCTTTGGCATTGCCTTTCTTTGGGATTGGAATGAAAACTGGCCTTTTCCAGTCCTGTGGCCACTGCTGAGTTTTCCAAATTTGCTCGCATACTGAGTGCAGCACTTTCACAGCATCATCTTTTAGGATTTGAAATAGCTCAACTGGAACTCCATCACCTCCACTAGCTTTGTTCATAGTGATGCTTCCTGAGGCCCACTAGACTTCACATTCCAGGTTGTCTGGCTCTAGGGGAATAATCACACCATCATGGTTATCTGGGTCATGAAGATCTTTTTTTATAGTTCTTGGATATATTCTTGCCACCTCTTCTTAATATCTTCTGCTTCTGTTAGGTCCATACCATTTCTGTCCTTTGTTGTGTCCATCTTTGCATGAAATATTCCCTTGGTATCTCTAATTTTCTTGAAGACATCTCTAGTCTTTCCCATCCTATTGTTTTCCTCTATTTCTTTGCACTGATCACTGAAAAAGGCTTTCTTATCTCCTTGCTATTATTTGGAACTCTGCATTCAAATGGGTATATCTTTCCTTTTCTTCTTTGCCTTTAGTTTTTCTTCTTTTCTCAGCTATTTGTAAGGCCTCCTCAGACAACTATTTTGCCTTTTTGCATTTCTTTTTCTTGGAGATGGTCTCAATCACTGCCTCCTGTATAATGTCATGAACCTCTGTCCGTAGTTCTCCAGGCAGAGACTCCGTCTATCAGATCTAATCCCTGGAATCTATTTGTCACTTCTACTGTATAATCATAAGGGATTTGATTTAGGTCATTTCTGAATGGTCTAATGGTTTTCCCTACTTTCTTCAATTTAAGTCTGAATTTTGCCATAAGGAGTTCATGATCTGAGCCACAGTCAACTCCCGGTCCTCTTTTGCTGACTGTATAGAGCTTCTCCGTCTTTGGCTGCAAAGAATATAATCAATCTGATTTCGGTTTTGACCATCTGGGGATGTCCATGTGTAGAGTCTTCTCTTATGTCGTTGGAAGAGGGTGTTTGCTACGACCAGTGCGTTCTCTTGGCAAAACTCTGTTAGACTTTGCCCTGCTTTGTTTCTGTACTCCAAGGCCAAATTTGCCTGTTCCTCCAAGTATCTCTTGACTTCCTACTTTTGCATTCCAGTCCCCTGTAATGAAAAGGACATCTTTTTTGGGTGTTAGTTCTAGAAGATCTTTATAGATCTTGTGAATCTTCATAGAACCATTCAGCTTCAGCTTCTTCAGCTGAAGGTGGTGACATTCTTCATCATAGAAATAAAATCCTGTTTTGTAATGTATTCTTCCATCATTCTCAGAACAACTAAGTATTTAATTTTATTTATGGGCTGAAGTTTTGTGTACTTAGCCTGTATTCCCAACTGTACTATGAGTCTTCGAAGGCAGGTATTTCACTGTATACATGGGCTGAATATACAGTATAAATTCAGTAAATACTTGATTAAGTAGTTATCTTCCAACTTTAGCTTGGCAGAAAGCTGGGATGGTGTCTTCAGAAAATATGATGTTAAATCAAAGCAAATTATAATTGACAATAAAGATGTTAATAGATAGAAATTCTACAACTTATACAATGGTTGATCCAACTGATTGAATATCCCAGAAGGAATTCTTAGAAATTAATAGAGAGTAGACTTTGTCCCAGAAAGTACAAAACAAGCAGAGCTGTATACAGTTTAGTTTAACTTTTTCTCAAATGTGAGCAAAGGTCATGTGGCTTTGGCATCAGACTGGTAATGGTTTCATCACA